TGCATCCTTGTCTCTCAGCAAGACAAGGTCTTCTTCCTGTGGGAGAAACTGGAACCAAAGGAACTTCTGGTACAGAAAAACTGGAACCCAAAATTTTTCAGGAACAAAGGAACCTGGATCCACAGGATACTCAGGAACAGCAGGAACAGGAAACTCAGGAACAGCAGGAGCAGGAAACTCAGGATACTCAGGAACGGCAAGAGCTGGAACCACAGGAAACTCAGGAACAGCAGGAGCTGGAACCACCGGATACTTGGGAACAAAAGGATCTGGAACCACAAGGAAGCCACCTTTGAACAACATAGATATTTCATGCCGAATAAATTCAGAAACATTTTTTGTTTCCAGGCAATGCAGTATGCTGGTATTGCTGTCCTCAAAGCAACCTAGCAAATGAACAAATTCAAGAGATAACCGATTGGCTTCCTCAGGAGACTTCCAAGACCAGAAAGCATTGGCTGTTCCACTCTGGATCACTGCTTGGGCAAAAAGGTCCTGGCTTTTTGGCGCAAGAAGATGGAAATTCACAGAAGATCCTCCAGCACTCTGGCCAAAAATGCCTTTGGGGAAAGGGTCTCCCCCAAAGGCAGCTGCATTCTCTTTTATCCACTTCAGGGCCAGCTGTTGGTCCCATAAGCCTAGGTTCCCTGGAGCAGCTTCTGGCAAGTAAAGAAAGCCTAGGGCTCCCAGGCGATAATTGATGGAGACCACAATGACATTCTCAGTGGCAGCTAAGGAGGCCCCGTTGTATATGTCCAGAGAAGATGAGCCCATGAAATATCCCCCTCCGTGTATCCAGACCAAAACAGGCACTGGTGAAGGACGTTGTGGGTGGGGCACCCAGATGTTGAGGGAAAGGCAATCTTCTGAAAGTGGTGTTTTAGGAGTAAATGTCTCTGCTTCAGGGACATCCCGGAAAATAAATTGAGGACAGGAATTGCCAAAGCTGGTGGCCTCCAAAGTTTGAGTCCATGGCTGATGTGGAAGAGGTTTCTGGAAGCGCAACTTCCCCAGGGGAGGCTCAGCATAAGGAATGCCTAGATAGGCTGTCACAGATCCAGAGCCAGCCAGGAACCGCTTGCCCTTAATCGGGCCACTGCTGGTTGTGACCACTGTGTCCCCATTAGAAGCAGAACTGGAGGCTAATGGAAAGAGGAGGAGGAGGAGGAGGCAGCACCGGAGAGAAGGGCATAGCTGACAAAGCATTGCAACAGTAGGAAGAGTGGATGGACCTGGAAAAAGTTACAACCAATATGAGATTATTCCTCTTACTGTATAAGCCCACCTTA